TTATGTGGATCCTGAGAAACGTAACAGGAACCCATGGGGGAGGGGAAGGAAAAAAAAGAGGTTAGAGTGGGAGAGAGCCAAAGCATAAGAGACTGTTGAGAACTGAGAGCAAACTGAGGGTTGATGGGGGGTGGGAGGGAGGAGAGGGTGGGTGATGGGTATTGAGGAGGGCACCTTTTGGGATGAGCACTGGGTGTTGTATGGAAACCAATTTGACAATAAATTTCATATATAAATAAAAAATAAAAATAAAATGTCAAATCTAATATTAGTGAATTCTGTTTATATATAGCTATAAATTTGCTTAAGACGTTCAGGAATATTAAAATAATGGTCTGTATTTAAATAGTTGCTTTAAAGTCGACAAGCAGGAGTATATGTAACTTTGCAAATATTTCTCCTTGGTAACTTAAGAATTAAGCTCCTTTGTGTTTCTTCTTGGAAGTGGCCATGAGAAATTTTTTTAACTATACATGAGAAATAGCTAAGTCAAATTTGGATACTTAGGTTGAAGAGGTGGTGAGGTTTTCAGCCCTCACTTTAAAGTATTTGAAGAGCTGTCAAGTGGAAGAATGATTAGGCTTGTTCTGTATTGCCTCTGAGAATGAAAACAGGGCCGCTAGGTAGAATTATCACTAGACAGATTTTGGTTCAATTTATTGATCTCTAATCGGAAGTCTCAGAAAATGAAGTGGGCTGCCTTCTGTATTGCTAAAGGGTGTTTGAACACAGGCTACAAAAACTGCCACTTGGTGGCTCTGTTGTAGAGCTAATTGAAGCAGTGTTTGGATGTTTGGCCTTGATTTGAAGTTCCTTTCTAGCTGTCAGATTTTGTAAAGACCAGTGCCGGGTGCAGTGTCTGGACTTGAGAAGAGTGCTTAATGACTGGGTTTTGTTTTGTTTTTTAATTGCTTAATGGAAGCAGAATAAAATATACAGTGTTTTTTTCTCTATATTTTTTATTCCATTAGAAAATCATTCTTCCTTTCTATTAGAGAAAGACAGGCAAACACACACACAAAATATGCAAACTGAATTTTGCTGTGGTGAGGCTCAAATTCTGCTACTGTTGTGTGTGTGTGTGTGTGTGTGTGTGTGTGTGTGTGTGTGTGTGTGTGTGTTTTAAAATAATGTCGTTGCCTCATGCAATTATATTTTGACCTTCCAGTTCATGAATTAGTGAATGATAGACAGTTTTAAGAATTGTCTTGTTAACAAGAGCTTCAGAAAGTTG